TACATACATTTTAGAGTTATATGGATCTTTGCATACACACAGAGTTGACATCATGTTTTAAACAACTTTTCTTTATATTGCACTTGTTTTAAACTGTTTTATATTGAAATGAGTTCAGTTATGTTGAGTTGAGTTGAGCCAAGTAAGTTCTTTAGTTCCTTTCAAGCTTATGTTTTGTTTTATAATTCCCCTCGCATACTCGTACATTCAATGTACTGATGTCATTTGGCCTGCATCTTATTATGATGCAGACACAGGTAACCAGGATCATCATCAAGCGCATCGTTGATCCAGTTGAGCACTCAGAGTCAGTTGGTGAGCCTTCTTGTTTTCCGAAGGATCCCTTGGGTTATGTTTTGTTTTATTGCTTGCTTATTTCAGTTGTTAGGATGATCGGGGGTCTTGTCCCGACATCCCTCAGAGTTTAGAGGCTACATAGACAGAGTTAGTTGATGTTAGTTTCTGAGTCTTTACTTCTCCTTTTCAATTAAGTTGAGACTTGAGTTGCCACTTTGGCAGTGAATGTTATTTATTACATTCTCAGTTATTTATTGAGTAGTTTAGTGTACTATTTTAAAAGTATTTATCTTGAATAAAGTCTTCCGCTGAGTAAGAAAGCCAGATTAAGGGTGCCCTTGGGGCCAGCAATGATTCTCGAGTGCCAGCCATGTCCAGGGTGTAGGCTCGGGGAGTGACATAATGTTTTACATAATTAATAAAATACTAATGGTATTCTTTTTTTATCATCAAGAACTTATTAAAGAATCACATTTTTTTAATGTATATATACAAAATAAGTTAGTAAAATTATATTCTACTTTTTAAGATTAAGTAATTTTTTAAGAGATACATTCAAATTTAAAACCCCAATTATTATTTTTATACAGATATAATAATAAAGACTGACTTGTCATGAAAGATGCTTTAACCTTTTAAGTCATCGTGATATTATTTAATATGGCTATAACAAGTCCACCAAAATACCATTAATGCTTTAATCTTGTCTCTATATCTCTGCATGCAAAAGCATAAAAAGCAAATAACTTGCATGTGCGATTAAACAATAGAATTATACTATTTAAATGGAGATAACTCCCTCGAAGTTATCAAAAATCCCAAGTCACCCGCTGTAATATAATGGCATAAAATCATCGCAGCTTCCTTGAAACTGAAGCAAATATAAATAATAATAAGCTAAATTTATTTTATATATATAATTTTCTTGTTTGATTGCACAAAATAAGCAAATTCAAAAAGTAGGAAATTCTTTTCTTCTGTGCTCACTCTATTCACTCCATTAAACGTGAAAAAATTAATGTTATTTCTCTCCTCTGCAAATGCAACACAACCTTGATTGACATGAACCAATGGAAAGATTTAATTTTCATTAATATGTAGGAATGCATTTATTGTTTTAATAATATGTATTTAATATTTCTGTTAATAGTACTCCCTCCGTCCCTATTTAGTTGTCCATATTTCCTTTTTTAGTTGTCCCTATTTAGTTGTCCATTTTGACAAACCAAGAAAGGACAACAAATTTTTTCTTATTATACCCTTATTTACACTTCTTGAAAATTGTAAAAGTGTATGTTGTTTCCCTCCAATTTATTTCACTTGAATTCATAAGGGTAAAATTGTAACTTCACTATGCTAATCATTGTTGCCTTAATCTGTGTGTCATTTCTAAAGTGGACAACTAAAAAGGGACGGAGGGAGTATGTAGGAACGCATTTATTGTCTTATAATCTAGATTTATTTTTTCTAGTTCATTCTCATCACTATAAGAAAATAATTAAATTTCATTATATTTTATAAGAAAATAATAAAATTTCATTATATTTTACTACTGTAATTGAATTTTTGAGACATTTTTCATTTTTCAAATTAACTTAATTGTTCAATTTTCAAGACTACTTTTAGAATGTTTTTCTAATTTTACCCTTCATTAGTTAGTATTGGAATGAGTTATTAATTAATGTTTAGTTATTTTAATCATAATTTTGATAATAATTAATAAGGGTAAAAATGAAATCTTCTTTTCTTAAAAAGGGTGAAACACCTCAACAATTCAATTAAGGAAAAATCCTTTTGGCCAGAAAATTTAGCCAGAAAGATATTTTATCTATGTTATTTTACCTTTTTAAACATTTTTACCCTTTTAACTTTAATACCTTTTAACTAAAAAATGGAAAAAAAATTAATTTATTTTAAAATTTAAAAAAAATTATATTTTTTTTTAATCTTCTGATTATTTAGCACTTCTCTTTAATTTACGTGGAGTATTATTTAATTGAAAAGAATGTACGTTATTCGAAGTCTTGATTTATGAGTCAACATGAGGAATTTGAGATCTAAAGAGAGGAGGATATAGTAGTGTGTAATTAATTGAGAAAGTTGTTTGTATGGTCTAAAATAGGTACCTAGCTAAGTAACTATATGAAAAGTAGAATGAAATATAAGTGGATCATGAATTTGTTGTTAATATATGATACTTATGTTTATTTTAAAATGGTAGGATCAGATTGTATGATTCTCTCTCTTTATATATATATTAGATATATATATTAGATACTTAATGTGAATATTGTTAATAATGAGACTAAAGAACTTTTTATCATTTATATTTGAAATAATTTTTTTTGGAGAAGAATTAAAAAGAAAAAGAACAGTTAATGGATTTTCATTTTGTTAGTCTTGTTAATTCCTTTCCATATGACATTTTTTCTAACATACACTTGAAAAAAATAGGGAAAATTAAGTTCACACAGGTTTTCTGTCTTTCCTTTCCCTTCCTAGACAACGAATTGAAATCTGAGTCTGTCTGAAAGTGAGTGAATCTCGGGGAGAGTCACGAACTTACGGAGCTAACTTAAGCTTGGTCGATAGTCGTTCTTGTCCTAGTTGGTACCCATAAAAGCAAACTAATTAAAGATATATATCTCTTTAAACATTATGTCCCCTAATTAATTATAGAAAATGCTTCATTTCTTTGTACCTTTAGTAGCTTATTTTTTAATTATTTTGCTTTTTATTTCTCTATTTTTTTTTTTCCTTTTTAGGTTTCTTTATTCATTTAAATTTTTTCAAATTGTTTTATTCTTTTTTTTATACCATAATTTGATTTATACTCAATATTTATTTTATATACTTTCTTTCTTTTTCTTTTTCTTTTTTCTCATTTATTACTTCTTCTTTTTTTCTCCTTTTATGCATTTTTATTTATTTAAATTATTTTATTCTATATTTTTTACACCATAATCAAATTTGTTTTCTCAATAATATCATCACAACATATCATATTGATATTAGATCATTAAGGACTATTTCATATGATCTATTGATACAATCACAATATATGAATATACTGTTGTGGTAGCACTAAGGTTTTCTTCGTTCATTTATTTATAAAGCCACTCATTCTTTAATGATATCATAACAATATATTCATATAATGCTATGGTATCATTAAGGTTTTCTACCTTCATTCATGTACAACTAATTCATTTCTCAATGATATCATCACAATATATCATATACCAACATAGTATCACTAATGAATGAGTAATTTTGTAAATAAATTAGTGAATTTTTTTATTTTTTTAAATTTTTATTAACCTAAAAGTAGTTAGTTAATATTTTTATTTTTATATTTTGTTTTTGTTTTTGTTAAAAAAAATATGTTTTATTTATTAAGTTTGTCAAGTTAAAATTAAATATGACGAGTAAAAATGAATGAGATAATAAATGAGAAAAGCATAAAAGTAAGAATGAAAATAATAAATGAGAAAGGGACAAAATTAATAAATGATTTGACAAAAATAATACATTGAAATACAAAAACAATTAAATGAAAAGATAAAAAAGAAGAGCATTGGTCTGTGCAAACTAAAGGGCATCTGGGATAAATACTTTTGGCCGTCTGGACATTTTTAAATTAATATGGAAGGGGGCTATTTTGCAATAGTTTAATTTTAAGGTGTATTTTGTACTCCCTCCGCCTCATATTAATTGATCATTATATTAAATATAGTTGTCTCATATTAGTTGATCACCTTATTAAATCAAGAACACATTAATTAATATTTTTCTATATTATCCTTACAAATTAATTCTTTTAAAAGTATTCACATTTGCTTGTAGAATTTTTAAGATTTTTTTTAAAAAGTGAATTAATAAAATCATCTACTTATTAATAATTTTTTAAATATCGTGTAAAATGAAAAGTGATCGATTAATATGGAACGGTGGGAATATAGTTTTCCCTAAAAAGTATGATCATGTGTATCCTGTAAAGGTACCAAGAGTTTTTGTAGCCAGCTTATAATTATACCCCATATTTGATTCCATCTTAATTAATAAAGACTGGACTTATAATAACAGATGGTTTAACTTTTTAAGTCATCCTGATATTTTATTTAATAAATATGTCAATAGAATTAATTAGTCCACCAAAGTGGCCTTATCACTGTCTCTACATACAAAAGCATAAAACTCAAACAACTTGCATGATTATAATTAAAAACAAGTTATAAACATTGATATTACAATAATTAACTCATTAAGAATTCAGAATCAAAATTAGTGAAAATAGTGTCAAACAAAGTGTATGTAAAAGGGGAGTAAGATTATTTTAACATGTAATTTAATTACATACTTCTTCCGTCTCTATTTACTTGTCAAATTTTAACTTGACACACTTACTAAGAAAATAATTATTGGTATAGTGAGTTTATCATTTTAGCCCTACTAATAATTGATAGGATTCCAAACATATTTACTCACTATGTTTTTCGAAGACATTAACTCAATGTTAATAAATTGAGGGTAATAAGAAAAAGAAGATTATTCTTCCTTTGATTTGTCAAAAAAATGACAAGTAAAAAGACAAAATAAGTTAGAAAATATTTGACAAGTAAATAGGAGCGGAGTCCCAAAATGGGCCTTATAAGCTATATATATTATGACAATCACAAAGCAAACAATCCACATAAATCTCATTCTCCTTCTTCTTCTTCTTCTTCACACTAAAACAAACATATTTTCTTGAGAAAATTAAATGGAGGGTCAAGTAGAGCACAAAACAATAGCTGTTAATGGAATAAACATGCATTTTGTTGAAATAGGTCAAGGCCCTATAGTCCTCTTCATTCATGGCTTCCCAGAATGTTGGTACTCATGGAGACACCAAATGTCATTCATGGCTAAACAAGGTTACCGCGCAGTGGCTCCGGATTTACGTGGCTACGGAGACACCCCGGGTGCACCTAATGATGATTGTAACAAGTTCACAACCCTAGATATTGTTGGTGACTTAGTGGAGCTGTTGAATAATATTGCACCACAAGAGGAGAAAGTGTTTGTTGTGGGACATGATTGGGGTGCTGTTGTTTCATGGGCTTTGTGTTTGTATAGACCTGATAAAGTTAAGGCATTTGTGTGTTTGAGTGTGGCTTTTAATCCTAGGAACCCTGTCAAGAAACCACTTGAGACTTTGCGTAAGGTTTATGGAGATGACTACTATGTTGTTAGATTTCAGGTGCGATCCTTCATTTCATCTATTTTTATCTTAATTATTGTGTATCGATATTGGATCTTACTATATTAAATTGGTTATGAATCGAACAAATTTATCATAGTAACATTGATTTGTTTCAAAGATTTCCGATTGTGTTGATATATTTTTACTAGCAAGAGATTTAATTATTTGATCCAACAAAAATGTTTTTAGATTGATAATTGAGATATACTTCATTATATTAGCAAAGTATATATATGTCAATAAGTTTTGAAGTTGAATTGGAATAGTACTGATTGTGCTATTGATATTTTTGTTAGCTATATGTTTGTATTTTTGTTTCGATTAATAAGTTGTTACAATTTGATCCATAATTTCATGATTTTGAGGAAAATTTAGTACTCCTTTTTGTTTTTTTTGGTTCCCACTCGGTGTCCGGTACCCATATTGGAGTCCAACTAAATCCGGATTCGCGCCAGGAAGTCCCACATTAGGGGTAAAACACTCCCTAACAAAGACGAAACCCTTCCACCACAACCCTTGTTGGTATACTCCTATTTGTTTATTACAAAGAAAAGGATAAATACTACTACTAGCTTGATGGTATATACCTGGAGTGTAGCAGTGAAAAAACTAAGGGAAATGTTGTACTTTAAGCTTTTGCTTTATTAAAAACGTCTACTACTTTTTAGATTAATTAATAACTAATTAGTCAGTAGAATATGAAAACAAATTTTCTTGTACTGTTTGAACCACAGTTTGAATCGAATTTGATTACTCCCTATGACCGAAAGTAGGAAGAAAAGAAACCTACAAATTTTATGGTGTTTCATCATGTTTCATTTCATTTGTAGGCGTTTGAAATTAATTTTTGCTTGATTTTTGAAGATTAGCAGAGTTGAACTCCCGAATTTTTTTATGGTCAAACTCTTATATCTTATATGACAAATAATTAAATTGACCAATAAACATGAATTAATCATTTAGTTTTCCTATATTGGTTAAATATAGTACTTTCAAGGCTATTAATAATAGGAAGAATAATATTATTTATGTATTGAATTTGTGAAGTGACCAGTATTAATTACCATCTATTTTTAATAAGGACAACATATAAATAGAAACAGATGAAATATTAAGAAACATCTATTTTTAATAAAAATAACATGTAAATAGAAACGGAGGAAGTTGATAGATTGAAACAAAGAAAGTAATTCTCGAAAAACGAAAAATATTATATAAATTGAAATTTAAAAAAAATAGTACTAAATTAAATGGAATATAACTTGAGTGTAGCAATTGAAACAAAGAAAAGAAAAGAAAAAGGAAACAGTTGTTTGTAAAAGACCTATATTCCGATAATACTAGAACCTTTGTACTTGAAGTTTTTGCTTTATCGAAATGATCTTTTACGGAGAACTTTTTAGATTAACGAATAGAGTATGAAATCTTATTTAAAAAATTCTCTTTCGAGAACATTCATTTTTTAACATACAGTAAATTAATTGATTAATTAGCAGTTTGTTTGATTATTTTATATATTGTTATTAGGAACCTGGAGTAATAGAAGGTGAATTTGAGGAGCTGGGTATCAAGAATGTTGTGAAGAAATTCCTAACATATAGAACCCCGGGTCCACTTTACTTGAAGAAAGGCAAACCATTTGAAGATGCTTCTTCTACTGATGAATTGCCTTGTTGGTTATCTGACGAAGATATTGATTTCTATGCTAACAAATATCAACAAATTGGCTTCACTGGAGCATTGAACTATTATCGATCAATAGACCGGTAACACCATACTTTAATTGAACTTTTATTTTATCAAACAATAGTTAAAACACAACACATGAAGAAGTCTAGAAGATTGATAGTTGGATTGTGAATAATTAATATTGCAGAAATTGGGAGGTTACAGCAGCATGGACAGGAGCTAAAATACAAGTACCAGTGAAATTCATTGTAGGTGATCTTGACATTACTTACAATGCTCCTGGTGCCAAGGATTATTTACACAAAGGAGGTTTCAAAAAACTGGTGCCACTCTTGGAGGATGTTGTGGTATTACAAGGTGTTGGACATTTTATACACCAAGAAAAGCCTAAAGAAATTAATGAACATATTTACAACTACATTAGCAAAATTTCATCCTCTAAAAATCACTCCAACGTCTGTGCTATTCTCTAGATCACTTAATTATTTTCTCTGCTTCAACTCATGTACTACTATTAATTTGTTTGATTGGTGTGCAAATAATGGTGATACCAGATGTGAGCTTCGGTTTGTTGTTCTTTATTGGAGTTGGAGTTTCTTGCACTTTTCTTCCAATTCTTGAGAAAATATTAAGCAGGGAGTTTCTTGTGCTTTATGAAGAAAAAATCATGCATAAATTAAGGCACAAAGAAAAAGGAAACGTAACTAATTATTCCTTTTAAGTAATACGGACACCAGTATATGACTCACATGGAAAAGCCAAGAGGAGAAAATACAAACTAGTATCTTCTTACTTTCTTAGTAGTACAAAAGTTGGAAAGACATCATTTGAAAAGAACAACATTCAAGTGCTCATCTTCTACGTAGAGGCGGAGCTAGGTAGGGGTTCGTGGGTACGAACGAACCCAATAGCTTTTCCGTAGATCCTATATTTATACTAGAAAATTAAATAAATAATATGTATATTAACTTGTGAATCTCTAACAAAATTGATTGAAAGAATGTAAATGATTTCCACTTTTTTTAAAGGAAATTTAGAACCCCCAAACTTCTAATCCTGGCTCCTCCTCTGCTTCTACAGGCTATTCACAAATTGAATAGAAGAAAATAATCTTTTCTGGTCTCTTATGTGTTAAAATGAAAATCTTTTGGGTAAAACTGGAGATCTCTTATAAGAAATAAGACATAAAATTTAAAACAAGTTTGTAAAAGGCACGTAACTAACGATATGAGCAAACTGGGAAGAACCTCTTGCGTGAGTTAAGAAACAAGTTAAGAGTCCAATAACTCTTACTTGTGGAAGTATATGTATACCAACTTTTTCTTATCTTGTATTTGCTCCACTTCACCTACTTTATAAATTAAAGCAGTTCAACTCTAAAGAATGATCATCTAAAGAAAAAAAAAAATCAAGTAGAGGGACAGAAAGAGTGAGATGGAGAAGGTTGAACACAAGACAATGCGAGTGAATGGGATAAACATGCACATTGCAGAAATGGGTCAAGGCCCAATAGTTCTATTCCTTCATGGCTTCCCGGAACTATGGTACTCGTGGCGCCACCAAATGCCGTTCATGGCAGCTCACGGCTATCGTGTGGTAGCCCCGGACCTCCGAGGTTTCGGAGATACCACGGGAGCACCCAAAGGTGACTTCACGAAGTTCACCACCCTCCATGTTGTTGGTGACCTTGTGGAACTCCTTAACATCATTGCCCCTGACCAGAAGGTGTTTCTAGTTGGCCATGACTGGGGAGCAATGATTGCTTGGGCTATGTGTTTGTATAGACCAGATAAGATCAAGGCCCTTGTGAATATGAGTGTTCCATTCTTCCCAAGAAACCCCATTATAAGGCCCATTGTAGCTCTGCGCGCTATTTATGGAGATGAATACTACATTATAAGATTCCAGGTTTATATCATCTTCTTCTTTTTTCTCTCCATCTAAATTGAATACTCGATTTGGCTATTGATGGTCTAGTTAATCAACCTTTCATACTAATATAATTGTGAAGGAGCCAGGAGAAATAGAAGAAGAGTTTGCTCAAATAGGAACCAAGACAGTATTGGAGAAGATGCTGACTATCCGAGACCCTGAACCATTAAAGTTGCCCAAAGGAAAGCCATTTGACGACTCTCCAGTCATATTACCCCCTTGGCTCACTGAAAAGGATGTTGATTACTATGCTACCAAATATGAGCACACTGGCTTCACTGGTGGATTGAATTATTACAGAGCACTTGATCTGTAAGTTCCTACCTTTATTATCTATGATAGAGTTACCACTAGCTACTCACCTCATAATTGATTCGTCGTATTCTTGAAATGCAGAAACTGGGAACTGACAGCACCATGGACGGGGGCAAAAATAGAAGTACCAGTTAAGTTCATAGTGGGAGATTTGGACCTAACTTATAATTCAGCAGGAGTCAAGTTTTATATCAACAATGGTGGGTTAAAGAAAAATGTACCTTTGCTAGAAGATGTGGTTATCTTGAAAGGGGTAGCACATTTTCTTCAACAAGAAAAGCCTGATGAAGTTAACGAACACATCCATGTCTTCTTCCAGAGCTTTTCTTCCTCTGAAACTTCTGCACTTTGATATTCCTTTGAAGTTGCACAAAACCAGAAAATGGAGTTGTACAAGAATCATTTCATATGCTTTAATAAATTATAGTATCAACGCCATGTATCTTTTTCCAAATAGTATCACCTAACCTAAATAAAGTTGGTTTCCAATTCCCATTCAGAATGTCTTTTTCTTTACTGCCAAAACTTGAAAGGTAGGAATAGAAAGAAACAGTATACTCCCTCCGCTTCATTTTACTTGACCTTTATACTTGAAACAAATTTTCATTTTTACTTGTCCATTTTAGCAAATTAAGAGAAATTTATTATTTTCTTCCAATATTTACCCTTATCATTAAGTAAATATATAAAAAAATTGAAACAGAGGGAGTATATATATATAAACACTAAAACAGAGACACTAAACTTGAGGGGGGAAGTAATACACAGAAATCGACATTGTTGATTAAGCTCTGCTGAAACCAGATGCTCTTATACAAATACCAGTGGGATACTGATAACAATAATCAAAAGAATCTGATTGCATTCACACAAGGAATTTTTCATCTAAAAAGGGTACAGATTAGCATATCACTGAAGAAAAATCAAGCATCTATTTCAACTTGTAAATTTATAGTTGGTGGATTTATTATTGTACAACATATCTGGGTAATCATGGGAGGGAAAATTAAGAATATCCACAAACAAGTGGTTCAAGTATACAACAAACAAAAAAATATAACTTATAGTGAATCACTGCTGTTTTAATTTGCTCCTGGGCGTCTTCCAACATCAAAGTGCACATCCAGGAGGCCTGTTATGCCAGCATCAATCTTTTGACCAACCTTAACAGGACCAACTCCTTTGGGAGTCCCTACAGAAATTCAGCAAATCGAAACATTGAATCAACTAACTGTAACAAGAATTGTATTACTTGAACAAGAACGTTTTAATGTTCCCAACAAACAAGGTGAACTTGCTGAAATTTAGAAACAGATCTCGATAAGTAACAAAATTAATTGCTCAGTGAAATATAGAAAACAATGGGTTGGGTTACCAAATTAGTTATTAACAGAACCAGCTTGCAGCATTCTTTTAGAAAAAAGATTAGTGTAAACCAAATCAGTTTCCTTTGTTTCTCAATTTATACACAAACATTGAGCCTTTAAGTAAATTATTAAAGAACAGCCAATGGAGGGAAGCCAAGAGAGATCCAATAACGTAGCAGACCAACAAAAACACGCTCCTCTTCTCAAAATCAGACACATATATATCAAGAAAACACCAAGCTCACAGCAGAAGAAGCCTAATGACCTCAGTTTATTAATCCAGACCTAACAATTGCAAATGTTTCAATGACTTCTTAATTATAATAAACTGCAATGAGAATTCAAAAAGAAAAAGAACTTATGCTGAAGGCTATTTATCAATTGAACAAAGAAGTAACATGAATCGTCTTACCAGTTAAAATAACATCTCCCTGGAGAAGAGTCATGATAGAACTTATGTGGCTAATCAAATATGGGATCTTAAATATCATATCTCTTGTTGAGCCTTTTTGCCGAAGTTCTCCATCAACCTGCAGAGTAGCAGATCATGATCAGCTGCAGTTGTGAAGACCAACATCAAGCAGGCAACAAGAAAAAATTATCACCTTCAGCCACAATTCTATGTCATGGGGATCTGGCACCGTCGACAGTGGTAACTGCAAGAAAAAAAGGAAAGATGACCATCAAATAATCTCAACAATGACATATAAAACCGTCTAAATTTAAGGGAAAAACAAAGAGAAAATGATAACCAACAGATGACATAGCCAAAACTTCTTACAACTGAGCTGATAGGAGTGAATGTGTCTTGGCCCTTAGCAACAGTCCATGGCAGGCCTGCAGACTGTCAGTTTGAATTGGTAAAAGTTGGTATCGTCATCCTTGAGAATGACAATGAAGGTCAAACAGTAATAATTGAAGAACAGAAATAAATAACACAAATGGACATTGGTATTCAAAGTATATGATGTAAAGGAATGCAAAACCTTTGCAGTAGCTTGGATCTCCCTCGCAGTCATATCCAAACCAAGTGCATAGCCTGAAACACGGAATGTTCAACCACCTGATTATAGTTCACATATTTATTGGGACAAACAATCTAATGCAGGCTCAGAAGAAAAGTGAATGGATGAATATTGTCTAAAGAACTGAGACACAGAAAGAAGGAAAACAATCCCCAAATAAAATAACCTTGTTTTGTTGTTGCACTGCTTCCATTTTTTAAAACAAAAAGGGTATCCCACAAAATCGATCGACATAGCTTAATAAGCTACTTGAATAACTCTAAATAAACTTATTTCCAGCAAAAAAGTAGATTAAAGTTGAAAGCAGACAAGTGAACCTTGGCCAGATAGACACCCAGTATTTACCTAAGCCAAGGACCAGCAACCCAAAATTGTTCAGGTGGAATTCAGTGAGGTCTTAAATCTATTGCCCAAGAAGTGGTTGTGCTACCCACACAGCTTGGCTGATGTTCACAACGATCACAAATGTCATGGCAAGCCTCAACTTGATTTTGTGCTCAAATAGAGACAAAAAAAAACTCTCAAAAGCAGCCAATGTTCTGCAACATTCTGTGGCATGGGGTGGAATGTGAAAATTCTCCAACAAAACAGAAACAGGAAATAAGCAAGCAAACAAAATTGAATCCAAATTAATTACTTCTAATCTATTTCAATCAATGCCTTGCTGCCCAATAATCTACTTCGTGCAACTTGAGCCTCGAAAATCATTTATTGTAGTCTGTCATTATAGTATTCAAAAATAGCACGTGCCTGCCATGGGCTTACTTGGGCATCCCCTAACGACCTTACTCTGCCTAATGACTCGACGCTGGTATCTAATTTATTGTATTAGCGATACCATGGTTGAGCAATAGTTCCTAAATTGTCCACAATGTCACTTAGACACGTACTTACTTAAATGGCCAATGCGCTTGTCCCCTGGACGGATCAATCAGTTGTCCCTGTACAGACTATACGCTCGTCCCTGGACAGGCCATACAATCGTTCCTGTAACATGTGATACAATCTTCTATACATGATCATACTTGGATGGGCAATACGATCATTTAAGATGAAATAAAAAAAAGTAACTGTCTGATCACTAGGTAAAGAGCTACTCTCTCATTCTCTAAGACATGGCTCAGCAACTATTGCATAAATAAAGGAGCTACTTTCCCACTTCTAAGATAGGACTCCATTTTTTACTCAACTACCACCAACCAAAGTAGTAGCTAGTTGAACTCTTAGACCACTATATACAAAAGCTCTCAGCTCGCTGCAAAGGCATTCCAACAGAGGACATCTCCTAGCATACACTTGGAGAATATTACAACCAATTATAGGGGGCCCTCCCCCCCCCCCCCCCCCCACAACTCTCCAACAACAAAGGTGGATACGTAATCTCGACTACTATTACATTTTCATTTTGATATAACACTCGTTGTATCTCAATAATACATGATCAATACACGGTCATCAAAAAAAAAAATACATGATCAATAAGATCTCTACTCCTCTCCATTTTAGTTGTATATTTTTGTCTCTTTACATTTATTGCATTTACTTTACGATTTATATTCACATTTATGCTATTGGTACTCCTTCACCAATTAACCATAGATAATCTTTCAACAGTTTGGCATCCACTGTGGGGTCCTAACCGCTAAATCTATTGATCTCTTCTTATCAGTTCTTCGCATGGAAGAAGTTCTGATTATTCGGGCAAACAAATGACTCAAATTTAGTGCCAAATCTGACACCACCAAAATGCAACTTTATACCAAAAGTTTCAAAACACGTCTTCAGACAGAGAAAATGGCACGGCTAAGTACCATTACTTATAACCATTTTGAGCAATATAATTTCTTCGCTTGCTTCAACTTGGGTCTGCTAGAGAACAATATTACTTATACTAGTAGGAAATTTAGCTACATATGGTTTTTGAATGCCTATATTTATTCTAAATGAAAGCTTAAGTTTACGGGTGTAACATTAACTTGACACCTCATGCTATTTTTGTATCACTATTAGCTTGACACATCATGCTATCTTGCTTCATTAAAGTGAAACTTCATGTTTTCCTGTTATAAGCTTGATTGCATTTCACTGCCTTTGCCACCTGAACAACTATTGCATGTCATATGAAAACATATATTTGTAATAGTGATTACAAGGCACTTGCATACTAATTGGTAAGCATTACTAATATAAAAACTTGTGAAGATTATACAATTGTCTCTACATCATGATTACTTGCTCAAGTACAACCAAAAGTGATGAAACTTTACATAAGTAACTAGAAGACAATGATATCATATACTGTATCACGTATACATTGCTATGACATATTAATTGTTGTAGCAAATTGCCTTTTCATATCATCTACTCAACTTCTAGCTACTCAGTGTACTATTATCATCATTGTTGCTTGCCTGACCCATAAACCCAAGATTATCATTACTAACTGGTACTACTTCTAAAAGGAAATTACATTTCTGTGGAGCTATTTTCATCCCCGTTCTACATTTATTTCTCCTAAAATAGAATTAATTATATATACATTTTGAAGACCGTCCTTTTTCATAAAGTGCAAGATCATTGTCATACTTATTCTGTGTGATGAAATTCTTTTGAGAGTTTTTTTTTTTTTTTTGAGAAAGAATGTATGACGAAATATTATGAAAAGAATTACATCATTTACAATAGAGCTCACATATTGTCTTATTACAGGAATTTACTTTCCAGGTTTGCAAACAAACTCATGACTTCGCTTTCATGATTTATTACATTCAGTAACTGCATTTTATTTGCAAAATACTTAAAATAGAAATTGAACATGATTGGTTGAAGACATGGACAAACCCTCAAATTTGCCCGTAATTTTCAGACATCTCAACTAAGGGTCTGACCTATTGAACACTTACTGTTAGGTAAATATGTATCTATTGAACACAAGCTACCAAGAAAGGCAAATAAATAATGTGTGAAGTTATCACGCAGTGATGTGGAAGAGAAACCAATGAAACAATGATATGTGGGCATCCCAAATAGTCCAAAAGAAAGATCTTGAGCCAAAATAGATTAAAAAAAGTTTTTACACCCACACCCCTCATATCCCAT